AGACAGGAATTCCATGGAAGTTACCGTGACCAGACTGCTCCCCTGTTGATCGTGTCTTGTCTTGCCTCTCACGTGGACTGGCGCGGTTTCACCTACAGAAACAAGAGCTCTGTGATTCTTCCTCACGTGGCATGGTTCCGATGTGGGTCACAAGTGTTCCTCTTAATCCCCACAACTTTCCTCATTTCCTAAGAAACCGAGTTCAGAATTCTGGCATGGGCTGAGCAGGGCTCTGTTTTGCCCCAGCTTAGCCAAGCAGTTTTGAAGTGAGACTTTTTATCACAATGAGGAGGCACGCCCCACGGAGTGAACAGGGGCAGATCTCCTTGGAGGTCTTGAATATCTTCTTTAGCAAGTTTACATGTGGCACAGGGACCCTAGGGCTGGTACCATCCTATCTTTCCTACCTCCCCTTTCACCCCAACTTAAACTGTTTTGTTGGGTGGCTCTATGCTTTCCTCCTTTTACCACATTCACCTCCCTCTACCCACTGTCTCTCAGTGTGGTTTGAGCATCCTGAATCCCAAAAAGTGAACTCCAAAATTCTCCAAAACTGGAAATTTTTGAGTCCCACGAGTGGAAAACCCCACACCTGACCTCATATGAAAGACTGAGTCAAAATGCAAGCATAGTTAAAATATTGTATCAAACTACCCTGAGACTATGTAGAGAAAGTATGTATAAAATACAAATGACATGTTTAGACTCGGGTGCCATCTCCAGGATACCTCATTATGTATGTGTAAATATTCTATAATCCAAAAAATCCAAACTCTGAAACACTCGGGAGCTTTTCAGACAAGGGATGCTCACCTGTATATCTAACCCCTACCCCACTAATATAAACTCCCACACCATTGGTACTTTCCCTTCAGAGTACTCTCTCTACCATTATTAAATAGTCATTTGTGCATCATCAGTGCAGTGGCTTTCTCCCTTGCTAGGCAATAGGTTCTCTAAAGACAAAGGATTGCACATATGGTATTCCTTGAGGTATATCCAGCAGCCTGCCTTTAGTAGTTGCTTAGGTTATCAATGAATGGCACCCCACCTCCAGCCTCTCCTAAAGGATAGGCTTTTGTTAACAATTATCTGAGGCAATAGGGAAACTTTGTGCTTCCTATTCTCAACATCATTCTCCACAATCCATCATCATCATCTGAATCCTGCTCTTATCTCTCCTGCTGCTCCAAGGCTCCTTGAGATAAGGGACTCTCATTTATTCTCTGCATGATTCACAACTCTGGACACCAAATTTTGCCTAGCTGAGACTCAAAAATTTTTGGCTGTGTAAAGGGTTATTTATTTATTTATTTGCTTTCCACAGACCCTTATACTGCGCATATATCACCTTTTCTGTCGTAGAGTAAGAAATTTAAAAATTTTCCCCAGTCCATAACTTTTTCCATCATTTCAGACTTCCAGCGGTACTGCACAGGCTGCTTCTGGGGCATTCCATTCCGATCTGCAGTCTTGAGTTTTAGATATAAAGGCAGGGCATGAAGGAGTTCTATGTTTTTGATCAGAGACAGCAGAAGAGGTAAGAGACTTGAGCAATGGGGAAATGGACATAGCAAGAAAAAAAAAAAAACACTTGCAACACGTGGTTGGGGAGAAAACATTGAGAGCTCTAACAAACTCAATAGAGTGATAGACTCTGAGCTGAACTCTTTATTCTATATATATTCTGAGGCCTTGAGAAAGTCACTTAGCTCCCTGGATCTATTTTCTGATGGGCAAAACGGCATTAATGATGCCTCTTCCTGATCATTTAGGGGATTAATATGATAATGTCCAAAATTGCTCTGTCAATTCAAAAAGGTTTATGCAAACCATTCCCTACATGGTGGGTGAAGATGGAGAGCTGGAGGGAGTCATCTATATGGGGTTTGGGGGTTGATTAGCAGAAGCTTATATCCTGTCTGTAGAGTTAAGAGTCTGTTTAGAATCCTGGGGAACTCAAAGTTTGAATGAGGAGATAACCAGAGTTTGAGAAAGGCACTGGTGAGATGGGGGGAAAGAAGCAACTCAATTGGGTATGAATGAAGCATAAAATACAGAGTGTTAAGGTCAGGCCCAGAGCTTCCTGCTTAGAGGCAGATGACAGGGGAAAGAGGAAGGAGGAGAGTTGAACACTGGCAGGCTGAAGTGAGGAGAGGGAGGTTGGTTGTTCTGCTGGAGATACAAGATCTATGTAAAGAGAGAAGCTTGAAAAGAAGAAATCAGGATTCCATCAAAGCAGGTTTCAAGGGACAGAGAAAGCTGGGAATTCAGCTTTGCCACAGAAAATGAACCTGGAGCAGGAGACACAGAGAGGTAGGAGTCGGGCATAGTGGTGCACACCTGTAATCCCAGCAACTCAGGAGGCTGATGCAGGAGGATTACAAGTTCAAAGCCAGCCAATGTAGCAAGGCCCTGAGCAACTTAGCAAGACCCTGTCTCAAAATAATAAAAATGAAAAGGACTCAGGGTGTGGCTCAGTGGTTAAGCAACCCTGGGTTTAATCCCTGGTACAAAAAAAAAAAATGTGGGACAAAGTCTCTCCAAGGAGAGTCTGCGCTCTGCTGAGACTACACAGGAGGATGGGCAAGGCATTCCTGAAGAACCAATGAAAGGAAAAGAAACCACAGAAACCAAAGCTGGGGAAAGTGCCCAAGCTAGGCTGTCTGCTGAGACAACAATCCCTTTTCTTCTTCCTGGACACACAGCCAACTGCATTTCTTAGGCTCCCTTGAAGTAAGGTGTGGCCACAAGACAGAGTTGTAGCCAAAGCAATGTGAACAGAATATTAGGAGATGGTCATTTCCAGAGCAGGCCCAAGTGAACTTCCAGCTGTCTTCCTCCAGACTCTTCCTGTTCCGAGGTGGGTGCTCATGCCCTCTGTAACTTTGAAAACCAAATGTTGAAGAAGGTGAAGCAACAAGTCAAAAAAACCTTAGGTTCAAAGGTCACCCCTGGAAGACAGAACCCTATCAATCAGCACATCCACATTCAGAACAAAATAATTCTTTTGTGTTCAAGCCATGTACATGTAGGGGTGAGTATATTACAGCAGCTATCTTTACCTCAATTAGCTCAGCACGAGGAGTCTGGGAATGACCAGGAGCCCACTGGCTGCATTTTAAAGTCATTTAAGTGAGAATTACATGAGATGATGTGAAAAAAAACACCTGTGCACCTCATGACCTGCCTGATTCCTGTCCATTCTTGCTTAGTGGCTCCCATCTAGTCTTTGGCCATGGTATTTTAACCTTAAATTGGCTGCTATTTATAGCCATAAAAGAAAAATACCAATCAGATCTCTATAAAAGATTTTTCCAAAACTCCAAGTTCCTTCTCTTGCTTTCTCTTTTTTCCCCACCAAAATAATTTTTAATTGTTTAATGTGGGAAAATATTTTATGGGAATTGCATTCCTTTCTGAGCCACTGCCTAGGCAATTTATAAATAAACAATAGACAAAGACAAGCATTAACTTGGGGGGGACTTTTTATAATTACCTTCAGGATTGATTCAGGATTGGCCAAGAATATAAAAGGAGTTTGAAGATTGGTGGCCATACAGGCTATAGAAAAAAGCAATTAGCTTTCTTTTCTTCTTCTCCTCAACAGGTAAGTTCCAAATACAGACAATGCCTAATTCATTCCTGTTAGTTCTAGTATTGCTAAAATGTTCTTAGATGCTCACATAAGTTATTGACCAACCAGTGGAGATACTGAGAGTTGTTTTGCAGAGACTCTGAAGACATTCAAGCAAAGGCAAGGTGTAAACAGGATTTATTGTAATTACTATTATTATTTTTTATTGTTTTAAGCAGATAGTCCTATCCAAGACATGCAAACTTAGCTCTTGAGTTTTGGTCATAAACCTCTGGGCACTTTTCTAGTCCTTGTAATATAGTGCCAATGAGAGATTAAGCTAGAAAATAAATCTACAAATGAGTAGCTGTCTTATAATTAGTAAGCACTCTCCTTCATATAAAATTCCATGCCAGTGTCTAATAGCCACACTTTATACTCACCTAGAGCCTTTCATCTGAAATGCTCAAAGCGATTCTTGCTAATACCAGTGCTAATTCTCTCAAAATTCCTGTAAGTCGAGGAACTAGAATGCCCATCCTTAAGGCACCTTGGCCATTGCTGAAGTTGGAGCCCTTCTGTCTCTGACCCACGTAGTTGTGGATGGCACCCCTTGCCCAGGTTGTTGTCCCACCCCCAACCCAATGAAAAGCAGAAGGGATTCTATCAGGGCAGGAAATTCGAGTTGCAGCCACATGGGAGGCAATCATATAAAAGGAAGCTCAGCCCTTTGAGTTAGACTGACTATATAACCTGGCTCTGATGTTTAAACAAATTATCCAAACTTTCTGAACTTTAATTTGCTCCTCTACGATCAAGAATGTAAAATAATACTATGGTTATCCACACACATGAAGCAGCCAATAAATACTTGCTTTGGGGTATTTACATCCTTAATTTCACTGGATCTTTGGAACTAACCTGTATTGTACCTGGTTGAAGTTCTACTTGGGAATACTGCCCATAGTAGACATTCAGTAAATGTTAGAGGAGTTGTCTTCTTTAGAAGAATTCTATCTCCAATGCTCATGCTACCCAAGCCAACTTAGGTTTTCTGTAAGAATAGTTCCAATTTTGTCCCAAATAAATGTGAATCTCTGGATGTAAAACATTTATTTAAGCACAATTATAATCCTCTTTCTTCAATAACCTGGGTTGATTTGCTAAATCTCCCCAAGTTCTATATTTATTTCCAAAGAAGAATATTGTTATGGATTAAATCACTTTGTTAAATACCAGATAATAAATTATTCATTATAGGGATTTGTTAAAAAGATTTGATCTATAAAATTATCTTATATATACTCTAATATATTAATTATAGTTTATGGATTTGTGTGAATTATTTTTTAGAAAGTAATCTTTTACTCCTTGCAACTATTTAAAGACAAAATAGTATACTTTGGATTTTAAGTGTCACAATTTTACTAGATTTTTCATTCCTCTACCAAAAATCCAGCCAAGTCATCCATCCAGGAGTCCCCATTTTCTGGATTTGATAATAAAAATACATTTGTGAATTTGCTTAGAGGGCCATGATAGTGATATGGTATTTACTCAGGACTTAATTGTCTAATGACCTTGGCTGGTTCAAAACATTGTAATAACTAAAAGGTAAGAACAAGATTGGAGAAGAGAAACTTCCAAGTAAGCAAAATAGATATTAAAATGTCAAACACTTATGTCTAGTGGCTGTGAATTTCAGGGATAAGAGATCTTGCCGGATGTGACTCAAAGCTAAGTTACTCCTACTTGGTCCACAGTTCTAACAAGATTTCTCCATTGTGGGCAGATGAAAAGCAGCAGGCCAGAAATGTGTAGACATTAGAGAGATAAAGATTTCTTACAGCCTTCAACCTATAAGCCTCGAAGGCAAAGCTTTGTGTCAACTCTTTGTCTGGCACTCTAGAGCAGATATGAAGGACAGGAAAGTCACCATCACTGCCCTTGCCTCCCACAGTCACGCTTCAATTGGATGCAGAGAAGAGCAACACACTACAAACAATTCGACAACAAATAAATTGTGTGCTACCTGCCATAAAAAACATTCAGAGAAGGAGGAAACCAGTCTGGGAGACACTAGGGAAGATTTTACCGGACCGAATTTTTTGAAAATTCCTAATTACAACAGGCTCTAAGTCTTAAAAAAGCATTTGAAAAGTGATGCCTGAAATCATTGTGGAAAACATTTCTATTTGACCCAAGACCAATTTTGAAACAATCACATTTTATTTGATCAGATGATAAGTTAGTTGAGAGTGGGACCTGTCAGAACCGATTCTCTTCTCCCCCAGAGCAGAAAGCTGTGCTGTGACAGAACAGCCACAAAACAAACATGTAGCAATTTAACTTTTCAGGGGAGACCAGAGTAACATACTCTGTTATCACATTAAACTGAAATTTAAATGAGAAAACACAAAATTGGTTATGAACTCAAGTAGGCAGGGAAATACCTAACAGGTTGAAAGAAAAGGTGGTAAATACATGTTGCTCAGAAGAGAAGATGAACCGGGAGTTTTAGGAAACTCCAGATGTCTAAAACACAATGAGAACTACCTCACACATACCTGGAGGAAAGTGAAATTAACTTAAGGTGTAAAAGGAAAGATTTAAAGAGCAGGTATTTGGAATGTGTTCTTGAATTACATTGTGTTTCTGTTTGTCTTGGTTTTGCCTGAAGTCTTCCTTTTCTATGCTCCTCTTTAAATAGTTTGGGTGAAAGGGATGAGGGCAGAGTCATGGGGTCAGTGACCTGTTTCTTAGTCCTGGTTTGGACTTGTGTAGGACGTGCCCCCTGACCCAGTCAGCCCTGCCAGTCCACAGGAGCACCCATTTCTTCCAAGGAACATCTTTTCTTAAGCTGGTCCATGTTGGTTTTCATCTGTAATCAGGATTCTGAACAAGAACTTCACCAACACTCTGTTCATGACCCAGGTTGGGAAAAAGAGTCAACCCTGTGGAGAATCAGTAGAAAACAGTGATGATAAGACCTTGAACCAAAGGGGAATACCACACACCTTGGAGACAGTCAGAAACTGGCTTAGTGTAATTTGAAGGGCCTCAAGGTAGTCCCCAAATCTCTCTCCCCTCAACTAGAAAAACAATGTGGTATAGTGAAGAGAGGACTGGGCTGAGCCTGAAAGGGGCCAAGTTCAAATCCTGGCTCTGCCATTTACTGTCTGTGTTAGCTTGAGCCATTTATTTAGTCTTTCTGGGATTCAGTTTCCTCATCAATAAAATGAGGAAAATGCCACCAATAATATAACGATGTTCTGAGGGCTATATCTTAAGTCCCTAGTGCAACAGAAGCCACAGAGCCATAGTACATGCTCAGTATATGGTAGCTTCCATGATTTCTATGGCTGGTCTTTTTATTTTGCCACAGCGATCTGCCTTTGGCCTAGCACGCCATTTTGTAAGTGGAACTAGAGAAGTGGTTGCTCCAAACAGCCATAGAGCAAAACACAGGTAAGTTATCTTCTATTGCCTGGAACTAAAAATCTTTATAGGCAAATCCACAACTAGCTTTGTCACCCTAGGAAAGAAAGTTATCAGGGAAGCACATGAGAGGATGGTTTGGAGAAAATTAAATCACTTCAGCAGAATTCAAGGTATAAAATTTAGCAAGAGGGAAAAATGATGCTCTAATGGCTCACTATAACAGAATATAGAGGTTTTGCATACATACTAAAGAGCATTTTAAGAATAACTATTGTTTACATGAACATCTTTGGACAAAACCAAAGGGGCTTGACTCCATCCCAACACAGAAGACACAAGAAAGGACAATCCCAACTGGTGCAGCAGAAGAGCAGGATTCTCACCCTGAGGCGACCTGTTGTGGGTAGGTGCTTCAGCTTGTCATTCTCAGCTGCCCAATTAACTGCCCTTGGAAGAAAGATCTGACCCAGATGGAGTCATTGAGCATTAATGCCTTACTGAGCAAGCAGGGCCCTGTAGGACCAGGCCTGCTATGTCCTATAATGAATTGCTTTTGATGGCAGAAACGGAAACAAACCAAAATCTTAACTGCACACAAACCTAAGTGGGTCCCCCTCGTCCCAAGGCTAGGACTGGAGTGAAAGCTAGTAAAACTAATTAGAGCTGTCTTGGATCATTCAGAAAAAAAAAAAAAAAGATAAAAATGAGTTCTAGAAATTGGGAGTGGGACCTGTCCTGATTTGGCAGGAAAGAAGATAGAAGGGTCTGGAAGCAAAGAATGATACTTTTGTTTCTAAAGAATGGAAGTAAAAACAGGCAAAGCAAGTCCAGGATGCTTTTTTCTGAGCTTAAGGGACTCAGACAAAACTAACCAGATTTAATAGTTCACTCTGGTTCCCAGGACATAAGAATCTTAGGTCTTCCTCCAGAGCTGTTAAGGTCAGATTTTGTTTTTGTTTTTGTTTTTGCCTCTGTGACCAAAAAGATCTGATTAAAAAAACAATTAGAGGATGAAATGTTTATTTGGAGGCTCAAGGTTTCAGAGGTCTCAGTTCAAAGACAGCTGACTCAATTCCTCAGGACCCGAGAGGAGGTAGAACATCATGGCAGAAGTGTGTGGTTGAGGAAAGCAGCTGGGGACATGGCACCAGGAAGCAAAGAGGGAGAGAAACTCCACTCACCAGGGACAAAATATATACTCCAAAGGCACGACCCCAGTGACCCATCTTGTCTAGCCACCCCCTACCTGCTGACAGTTATCACCCAGTTAATCCCCATCAGTGGATAAATTCACTGATTAAGTCCCGGTTCTCATAAACCCAGTCACCTCACCTCTAAACCCTCTTGCGTTGTCTCACACTTGAGCTTTGCGGGGAACACCTCATATCTAAACCATATCAAGAATTTAAGGAACCTGGATAGAATTAACTAAAGATAACAGCTCACCCTACTTCCCAAGACTTGGAGTCTCAGTCCAGTGACTTCCAGCCCCCTGTTGAATACAAATATAAAACAACAGCCAATACCTAATGATTATCTTTCCCTCTACTCAACAAAGGTAGTACAAAACAATAAAATTCCTAATAACAAACTAACGATATATGTTGCAAGCAAGTGGCTATTTGCAAATGTGTCCTAGATCAAAGATCACAGAAAATTCTTTTTGTTGTTTGGTCTTCCTGTAGACAGGAAGGCAAAATCGGGTTTCCATGTGTACTTACTCGTTGCTTAAAGAAGCACGTAATCCATTAGAACTTCTTGATGACTTGTGAGACCAAGGATGTGGTTTCCATTATCTAATAAATGATAAGTAGGGAATAAGCATAGTTGGTTTACATTAGAGCCTAAGTGGAGATGATATTGCTGTAAATATTTATTATAACTTTCTAAAAATACTCATGTATGTGCCTGCCATATAAGAAAAATGCTTCTTAGGATGCTAAAAAAAAAAAGTGGCATAAAAGATTGGCAAGACATCTGGTCTGTCAGAGTTTACAATCTAGGAAAAATGATGTGAACTTAGCGTTATAACAACAACTATAACTTAAATATTTGCCATATGCAAAATGCTACATACACATTATTTTACTTAATCCTCACAAGAACCCCATGAAACAATCAAATTTTCTCAATTTTGCTGAGAATCAGAAAGATAAAGTAACTTGTCTAAACTCACACAAGGAAAAGAAGAATGTCTATTGTTTCATTTATCCAGAACTATTGTTTCATTTATTTTTTTATTTATTTATATTTGGCAACACGAACCCTTCTTCTTTTGAGGATCGGGTCTTCAATATCACACACACACACACACACACACACACACACACACACTCAGATACACACACATCACACTCTCATTGTGTGCTTCTGTTGGGCCAGTCACACTGCATTCCTGCTCATGTGATACAAATCAAACCAATCAGTTCTTCCATGGTGTCTTCAAATGGAACTAAGGGGACTGTGCTCCTTCCTTCTTACCCTCTAGTGAAATGAAACTGAGAAATGTGAACTTTGAAGCTTCCAGAAGACATACCTCCAGCCTCTTGTCAGATGCTAGTCTGAGGAAATAAAGTCAGTATGGAGAAATAAATAGAAAAAGAGATTTTTTTTTTTAAAAGCACCTGTGGCTTCAGTGACTATGGTTCCAATCAGTGGTTTGCTGGTAAATGTTTAACAGCCAACTCTCCAAGTGTAGTTCCTTTTTGTTTATTTGCATGTTTGGTAACAGAGATCAAAACCAGGGCCACTTAACCACTGAACCACATCCCCAGCCTTTTTATTTTGAGACAAGGCCTTATTAAGTGGCTGAGGGTGGCCACGAACTTTGCAATCCTTCTGCCTTAGCCTCTTGAGCTGCTGAGATTACAGGAGTACACCACCACACCCAGTCCAAGTGTAGTTCTGACATGAATGTTGGTCAGCAATTTAAAATTTTTTTAAAATTTTATTTGTTCTTTTTAGATACATATATGACAGTAGAATGTATTTTGGCATATTATACATACATGGAGTATAAATTATTCTAATTAGGGTCATATTCTTGTAGTATTACATGATGTGGAATTACCCTGGTCATTTATTCAAGGATAGGAAAGTTATGACTGATTAATTCTATTGACCTTCCTATTTCCCTCCCCCTCTTCCCTTTGTTCCCCTTTGTCTAATCCAATGAACTTCTATTATTCTCCTCCTCATCCTCCCTTTTTGTGGGTTAGCATCCACATATCAGAGAGAACATTTGGCCTTTGGTTTAGGGGGACTGGCTTATTTCACTTAGCATGATAGTTTCCAGTTCCAGACATTTATCAGCAAATGCCATAATTTCACTCTTCTTTATGGCTGAGTAATATTCCATTGTGTATATATACCACAGTTTCTTTATCTACTCATCTGTTGTAGGGCACCTAGGTCGGTTCTATAGCTTGACTATTGTAAATTGAGCTGCTATTGATGTGGCTGCGTCACTGTAGGATGCTGATTTTAAGTCCTTTGGGTATAGACCAAGGAGTGGGATAGCTGGGTCAAATGGTGGTTCCATTCCAAGTTTTCTGAGCAATCTCCACACTGCTTCCCAGAGTGGTTGTGAAGCCAGATTTAAAGTTAGGTAGTCATCTTCAAGCAAACTTGAAGATGCTGACTTAGAAGTGCCCAGATTACTTCTTTGGCCCACCTGTGTCCCACCCCTCGGGCCTTCCCACCTACATTCCATCACGGAAAACTATAAAATGGAGAGACAACGGCAACTCCACAGATTTCACCTCTTGGATCCCCTTCTTCCTCCAGGAGAAGTCTTTTCTGCTGTCCTTTAATAAACTTCTAATTTCTACTCTGACCTTGCCTCGGCGTGCTTCTCTGGTGTTATTCTTCAACATTGGGGAAGCAAGGACTCATCACCGGTCAACAGCAGTAA